ACCCGAGCTGTGATTGGCCCACGGATTCGGAGAAAGGAATGTAGTTCGGTTGTCAGCAGCCGTTCTTTTGGGGGAGCGTTGCGTGACATCCAAAAACAACGGCTGCGAGGGAGACTAGAAAGATATGGCTTAAGTCTAAAACGAGACCATGTCATTTAACTTTGAGCCCACGGAACGCTTTTAATAGTCACTAAAATCGAAATATCGCTTTTGGTAGCAACTTTTCAAATATCACTTTCCCCATGCGGCATAACTCAGAACTGGTTCATGTTAAGCTCATCATTAATGAAAATAGTGTTGTTCTCGATGATGTAAAAATTAGCTTTGGGCTTTAGGATGAGCCATTTATCTGCCTTTTCGATAATGCCAGATCTTGATTGGCTTCTAGTGTTTGGTTGTTCATAAGGAATTGTTTGGTTTTAAGTCGGTGACCGTGATAAATTCAGGAATTAATCACTAAAATCTTATCGTTTTTTGCATCGATAAACCCGTTGAAAATTAAAATAGTTTAAAAAGAATAGACCGCACTTTTAATCAGTTTTCCGGAGTAATAACTATCTGAGATGTTAGGAAACACTCGAAAAGTTTGTATGTCAATCGTAATTAGGGAAGATGTAGTTTAATGGTAAATATCATGAAGACAAACTTGGCCGTAAAAGCCGTAGATTTTTTAAAGAAAAATATAATTTACTTCATCTAAGCAATAAAATTTATAAAATGCTTGTGATTTGTAAGTATAGGAGATTATTCCTTGAAAAACACACATAAAAAGATTGTGACGTCTATGGACATCTGTTGTGGCTTCGAACAATTGAAACCGGTGCACTTTGTGGGAAAAATTCGCACGAGTCGCGATCTAAACACGAAAAAAAGTTCGCTTTTGCTAAATGTTTGAAATGTTTAAAGATCATAAAATTAAATGAAATTAAAAAAAAAAAAACAAAAACTCTATGATACTAAGTGTTATGAACTTTGTCATCTCAGCCTCCTTATGAGTTAAGCGTGCCCGGAGTTCAGACCACAGAATCATGACCGCCACACTGCAAAGAAGAGGATTTTTCTTTTATGACATTTTCAACGCATCAAACAATATATACATATATCATATTTCATCTTGGAATTACTCCACCGGAAATCTCCCGTTAAATTATTCCTAGTTATTCAGAGGAGTGACTGCTGCTCAATCTAATAATAGATAGGCCACACACAAATTTTTATTCTTAGTAACGTTAGAGTTACCAGATAAGTGCAAACTAGCGCTAAAATTAACCAGGGCAAACATATTCTTATTTGACAATATACTCTTTTCAATCATTTTTTTAATGAAACAAATTGAGTTTCGCCGTTAAGAAACCTGTCGGTTATTAAGACAAATAATTAAGTTTTTGCATTCTTGCTCTATGCTAGGCAATCTTGCTCTCTAATAAAGCATTGTAAAACGACTTAAATGGAAAAACGTAAGAGTTAGTCTGTCGGAGGTGGCAAATAA